CTGCTTTTCTGTGTCTTGGCCAAGAACAAAGACGGTAAGTAAACCACTAGTCCCACCATAGAGGTAATAGCAATCCATGCTGGGAAAATGACTCGTGACTGGCAGGGACTTTCTAAAATGATGAAGTATAATGTTCAAAACACCACTAAGGTGAGGAACCTGTGTTCTTCACACCCATCTGATGACTTTACAAAAACACAGCCTGTGTTGCACAATCCCATGACTTGCTACAAAGTTCTGAAAAAAATGCCCTAGAAATTTGAGGAACCTCAACAGACCACCATGGGCTGTTTCTACAGACCACCAACTGGAAACACTAATCCAAGCAACATGTCATAGTTCATAAAAACTCCTCTTAATTTAATCAAATTTAAGAGAAAAATCAATGATCAAGTGGGAACGTAAAATGATGCGGCCACCGCAGAAGAGAGCACAGCAGTTCCTTAAAAAGATTAAGCCTATAGCCCAGCAATTCCACTTTTGGGAATGTACCCGAAAGAACTGCCAGTACAGACTTGAAGAGGTATTTGTAGACCCACGTTCACAGCAGCAGTATCCACAATCACCAAGAGATGGAGACAAATCTCCCAAATGCTGACAGATGAATGGGGAAACAAAATGTGGTACATCCATACAATGGAATAGTATCCAGCCTTAAAAAGGAGTAAAATTCTGACAATACGGATAAACCTTGAAGACATTACGCTATCTGACATAAGCCAGACACAAGATGACAAATACTGCATGAATCCACTTACAGGAGGTACCTAGACCAGGGGGTTAGGGTTAGGGACAGGAAGTAAAAAGGTGATGGCTGTGGGGGAGGGGCCTGGGGAGTTCAGTGTTTAGTGTGTACAGAATTTCAGTCTGGGAAGATAAGTTCTGGAGATGAATAGTGGGGATGGCCACACAACAATGTGAATGTACTTAATGTCACATAAAGAGCTAAAATGGGAAGTTTTTATGTCATGCATATTTTACCACAATCAATCAATGCCTGCTCCTGAGCTCATACAACTCTTGATCTCGGGGTTGTGAATTTGAGCCCCACACTGGGTGTAGAGATTGCTTAAAAATAAAATCTTAAAAAAAAAAAAAAAATCTCAAGGCTCCTAAAGAGTAATTGTACCAAAGCTGTGCAAAGGTAGACAAATGACAAGTCATTTATATATACGATACATCCCTCAACACCCTTCACTATTATAAACTATAGCCACTCTAGTGACAACACCCAACCTGGTGTTCTCCCAGGACGGGGATTAGGAGTTGGGGCCTGAGCCTAAGGCACAAATGTTCACAGAGGGCTTTCAGAGCTGCTGAAATGTCTATGTCTTCACCTAGCAGGATTCTAGAAATTGGTGTTTCCCACCTTTCTGGAATTTCAGGTTACGCCTACTGGTTTAACCCTCTTTGTAAGGGGACAATCCTTTTAGGATAATCAAGCCAGCAAATTAACACCTTTGAGAGATGTTTACATCCAGGTAAGCAAATGTGCCAGGTCAGATCGGATTTCCCAAAGGTAACCTTCCAAAGTTAGTGAGAAGAGGAAGAAAAACAGGTGAACAACAACTAACCTGTTCAGCAGAGCTCTGTTGGACTGAAATATCACCTCAAACCTGACTTCCATGTTTAAGGTTTTCACGGTAGAGCCCTAGTGGAATTTCCTATTTATTTATGGAAGCTAATAAGCATGACCTGGAAAAACAAAAATCTAGCTAATTTACAGAGAAATCGGACTATTCTTCTCCTAAATGGTACAATGGACTACAATGGAGTAATGAGGGGGGGGCGGGGGGACAGCAACGAAGACCGCTTGACTAGAGCAAAGACCCCTTGACTAGAGCATACAAGCACTACTACCATTTCCAGGTCACAGAAGAGGACCCAGAGTTTACATGTCGTAACACGGGCAGTAAGAAGCCTCTGAGATTCACCCAATTCCAAGATTAATAAGACTCTGCTCAAAGGAAGAACGTGGAGGAGACATCTTGCGTTTTGCCAAGGAAAGTATTCACAAGAAACAGAAGCTCTAAATAAGCAGCAACTAGGTAAAAGAAGCAATATTTTTTTTTTAGTTTTTTTTAAATGTTTATTTATTTTTGAGAGAGACAGAAACAGAATGTGAGTGGGTTAGGGGCAGAGAGAGAGGGAGACACAGAATCCGAAGCAGGCTCCAGGCTCTGAGCCGTCAGCACAGAGCCCGACGCGGGGCTCGAACTCATGAACTGTGAGATCATGACCTGAGCCGAAGTTGGGACACTCAACCGACTGAGCCACCCAGGTGCCTCAAGAAGCAATATTTTTTAAATGTTTATTTATTTACTTTGAGAGAGGGAGAGAGCAAGCGGGGGAGGGACAGAGGAAGAGGGAGAGAGAGAATCCCAAGCAGGCTCCATGCTCAGCACAGGGGCCTACAAGGGGCGCGATCACACAACCCAACGTGATGAGATCATGACCTGAGCCAAAATCAAGAGTTGGACACTTAACCGGCTGAGCCACCCAAGTGCCCCCAAGAAGCAGTATTTTAAACGGTTTGGTCTTATCTTTCAATAAGGACTTAATATAAATTATATATATTGGGGTGCCTGGCTGGCTCAGTTGGAAGAACATGAGGGTCTTGATTTTGGGGTCATAAGTTCGAGTCCCATGTTGGGTGTAGAGATTACTTCAACCTCAAAAACTTCAAACAAAATTGTATATATTTAGGGTGTACAATGTCATATTTTGATATAGCTATACACTGGGAAATGACAACTATAGTCAAGCTAATTAACATATCCATCACTTCGGTTATCATGGTGTGTGTGCGTGTGTGTGCACGCGCGCGTGTGTGGTGGGAACACTTAAGATCTACTCTCTTAGCAAATTTCACATACACAATACAGTTAAAATGAGGTGTTTGTGTTTTTATTTTTTCGTACTTACTTATTTTTGAGAGAACGCAAGCAGGGGAGGGGCAGAGAGAAGAGGACAGAGGATCTGTAGTGGGCTCTGTGTGGACAGGCTGACTGCAGCGAGCCCAATGTGGGGCTCGAACTCACCAACTGCAAGATCATGGCTTGACTTAACCTAAGCTGAGGTCAGAGATGCTGATGCTCCACCCACTGAGCCACCCCAGGTGCCCCTGTGGTTTTGTTTTTAAAGCCCAAGGCAAAGATATATCCGGGATCAAATTTGTGCAAAGCCCTTGAGCTCTTGTCACTGGTATGTCTGTGGCAGCTCCTTTGTAAAAACACCTGAGATCCTCACTCCCTTCATAATAGTGAAGATTATGGCATTTTCTGCATACAAAAACACTGAACACATCAAATCAGGTCCTGTCATTAAAACTGCTACACTAAAGGAGAAGAAAATACTGCATAAATAATTTGAATGGAAAGCAACATAAAGCACACGAAACTGTAAGTTCTCTCCAAAATTACTAAAAACAATGTAAAATTTAAAGTTTCATCCCAAACATCCAACTACTTTCTTTAATACTATTAAAAACAACCACAACTATGGAACATAGTGAATGTGCTTGGCATAGATTCTATTTATGTTTTTCTTTAATTAACACGATTAGACGGAACATGATTAAATGGTTCATTTAAAAAATTATTCCCTGTCTCGGGGCGCCTGGGTGGCTCAGTCGGTTAAGCATCTGACTTCAGCTCAGGTCATGATCTCACAGTTCGTGAGTTCGAGCCCCGCGTCGGGCTCTGTGCTGACAGCTCAGAGCCTGGAGCCTGTTTCAGATTCTGTGTCTCCCTCTCTCTGACCCTCCCCCGTTCATGTTCTGTCTCCCTCGGTCTCAAAAATAAATAAACGTTTAAAAAAAAATTTTTTGGGGGCGCCTGGGTGGCGCAGTCAGTTAAGCGTCCGACTTCAGCCAGGTCACGAT